ATTGAGCTTTTTTCAAAACCACTTTTTTAACGTTTAAGCAAGACATTTCTACTGCAGCTACGGTTACAATGGACATTGAGCTTATTCATTAGAAAAATTTTCTAATTTCATAAGTTTAACCTTCATCCCACAATGGACCGCAGTAAAGATTCTCTAAGCATTATTATCCAGTAGTCACAAGTTATAATAGCGTTGACGTCCTAAATGTAGCATATCAAGCTTACACCAATTTTCAAACATAGAAATACCCATATTTGACAGCAAACACTGAGCGAATTTTCACCAACCTCCGCGAGGCCGAATATAAAGGATGAGCAATAGTCCACTTGTATCGAATTTGTCGTAGCAATCGCTTAGGGCCATAGCCAGAAAGTTCTTTACTGAGAGTAAGATTAACTACTATTACTTTAGCAATTTAGTCCTTACGGCAACGACGTGGAACAGCAAAGAAATTTGCAGTATGTAGCTCTATCCGATGTCCTCCTATACGGCTAAAATTTATTTCCTCGAGTTTGGGAATAATAAATTTATAGAATAAAATTACGAAGGCGGAAAGCAAGTTCTACACACAGCTATAGCAGCGCATGGCATATTGCGGGTAACAATGGTTGCACCATTATTATTGACCACCAAGTATTGGAGTTGAGAAAGCTAGGGATTTCTTAGAAGTGGCAAGATTCTCTTTTAAAAATCTAGTAGAATATGGTTATTTTGAAGATTACAGTGAGTGTCTGTCAGTCGATCAAATAGTACAGAGAGCCTCAGCAAGAAAATTATTATAGATTATAATACCGAATGACATGCACTGTGTCGTATACGAGATACTTCACAGTAGGGAGAAGGCGTATCAAATCAATTCCATGCGCCAGGGCGCACCTTGTTTTTGAGCATTTAGCTTGCATGGATCACGTAAATCCTTAGAACAAAAGAATTTATTATTATTTGTGATCACTTGTCGAATAACTACACAGATCAATCATTAAATGAATTTTTGGAAAATATAAAGGTTAATCTCTAGTCTTT